GCCGTAGCCTCTCACGAAGCTGCTGGGTTAGGTTAACCGACGCTTCCCCTTTAAGCTGACTGTGACAGCAGAGAGCTGACTGTGAAGTTCCACGTTTGCAGAGGCAGCTGAAGTGACAGTCGCCTGAGCAGTCGCCGTGTCACACCTGAGGGAAGCCGTCGCCCCCGTCCGACAGGTGAGACCCAACCGTGCGTCAACCGCCGCTTGTGACACCTGTGCTGCACGCTGAGGGTTGTAGAGATCATTGCGCCATGTAGGGGTGTCAGCGGCATCACTCCTTGCACAACCGTCTCCCTTCCTGCCCAGCTCCACCTAAATATGGGTCATTCCACTATGGATGGAGGGGACAACCTTGCCCCTGTCCTTTGGAAGGGGGAGGGGGGGCAGGTGGTAAGATCTTTGCATCTGGTATGTCATCTCCACCCACCCAGATTCGAGGAATTGGGGGTCTGGGGCTCTTGCCGATGGATTTAGTACTTATTTTATGTAGCGGTGAGTGCAGCAGGAGGAGTGAGACTGCGCAGGTTCTTGTGATCGCTGCAGCAGAGGGAAACGGATGTGAATGGCGATACCTCGGAGCCCCCCGAGCAACGTAAGAAGCCAGAGGATAGTCCAACGCAGCCGCCTCCAGATGCATGGGCACACTCAACGGGCCTGATTGTGAGGGGGGCATTGTACAGCGCTGCGGTATATGTCAGAGCTATATCAATGTATAATAGTGTGTGGGTGGAGGGGCATTAGAGTGTAAGCTCCTCTGTACAGAGACGGATGTCACTGTGGGGGAGGGGACATTAGAGTGTAAGCTCCTCTGTACAGAGATGGATGTGATTGGCTCAGTGTTCTCTGTACAGCGCTGCGGTATATGTCAGCGCTATATACATGTAGATATGTCCCCCCCGGGGTTGCGGGTTTGCGGGTTTCCTGCGTTGTGTCTCTCACATGTTGCGGTTTTATCGTGTCCGCGTATCATAGATGGGTGATGTCTGTTTCCTTATTATAGTCCACTTCCTGTGTGTCATAGACACGGACGGCCCGCTCACGCTCCTGACGGTGACAACGGACAATCTGAACTTAACTGAAAGGAAATCTGGGAGTGATTCGAGCTGAAAATCCCTCCTGCCTGACCGTCATGGTAATCCTCTGGCTTCAGCACTGAATTCGCTGACCTCGTTGCCTGCAGCGCTCCTAACTGGCCTCCAACTCTGATTGGCTGCTAAGGGTGACACAGACACATCAGCCGCTGACCTGGAGCCGGAATGCCAGTCAGGAAATCTGACTTCACTGGCTACCTGCTTGTACCGGGAAAGGAGCCAGAGACAGCCAGGCGCTTGGCATTTTTCGGACGGCGGCCGGTACTAGCGGTGGCCGCGCATATCCTCCCGTGACAGGAAGGCTGTAGACAAACAATTGCTCGTTTCCTTTAATGTCCGGGGAGAAAATGGAGCAAATGTGAGTGATGTCGGCTCAGAAACTCCCGCTGGCTTCATTGGTGTCACATGATCGCTCAGATCCTCATTCTTCCCCGCGACAACTACACAACCAATCAACAAAAGGGGGAGTGCCTGTGCTGACCAATGAGAAAAAAAGGAAAATGAGTGGACCTGATGGAGAACTACCTGTGTAATATTATACAAAAAATTCTCCTTATTGTATAAAACATGGCGGCTCGGGTCCCAAGTCATGTCCAGCTATTAGACAACTACACAACCAATCAACAAAAGGGGGAGTGCCTGTGCTGACCAATGAGAAAAAAAGGAAAATGAGTGGACCTGATGGAGAACTACCTCTGTAATATTGTACAAAAAAAAAAACCTTGGGAATTATTAATCAATTAGTTCACGGCCTGGGGGGTGGTACAATTGAAGTAGTTCCCCATAAAAAAAGAGTAGTTCCCCATCTGGTCCTCCTTTTGGTGGATTGGCAGTTCAGTTGCAATTTAAGGGGAGGAGTTATAAATAATTTGCCCCGACTTACGCTGGGCAATGCTCGGCAGAAGAGCTGACAATCCATGCGACATCCTCATCCTTCTCCGTGACGCTCACAGCCATCTGATCACCCCCATTATAAAGAGACTCCGGTCCATACACAACCCTAAATTATGAATAAACCAATAGGATGGTTATGTATTCATGTGGCGTGCGTGGACTGATTGCTCGGCAGAAGAGCTGACACTCAATTTCACATCTTCATCCTTTTTTCACGAGACGCCCCCAGCCCTCTGATCGGCCCCATTATACAGAGACTCCGGTCCATACACAACCTTCAATCATAATAGACCATAAGGATAGTTATGTATCTGCATTGTGTGTGTTGTGATGCTCGGCAGAAGAGCTGACACTCCACCTCTGAGATCCTCAATCTTCTCCGTGACGCTCACAGTGATCGGCCTTATTGTAAAGAGATTCCGGGCCAAGCACTACAATCAGCCATAATGAACCATAAGGATAGATATGTATACATGTTGTGTGTGCGTGGACTGAATGCTCGGCAGAAGAGCTGACACTCCATCTCAAACCCTCATTCTTCTCCGTGACGCTCACAGCGATCTTATCACCCCCATTAGAAAGAGACTCCAGTACATGTACAACCTTAAATCATCCATAGACCATACGGATAGATATGTATCTGCATTGTGTGTGGATGCTCGGCAGAAGAGCTGACAATCCGCTCACGTCCGCCAATGATTCTGCAGCATCATTGGTTGGCAGGACATAGGCGGAGGTTTCGGGCTGGCGGGCGGGCTCATGTTTGACCCGAACCTGAAGTTCACCTCATGTTTAGTTCATTTCTAACGCCAGACATTTTCTATGGAAGGTTCTTAACAGTGTCTGTGACCCCATTGGTCATATTTCCCCCTCACTTCCTGTCCCCGTGACACCCATAGAAGAAACAGGGAGTTGATGGCAGTCAGAAAGGCACAGAAATCAATGAAAAGACTACTAGAGGTTCTGGTGCAGAGAGCCGGTTTCCGTGTCTGTGTGCAGACCTGGATCGGGTTACACCGATGAATCATTCATGTCCTTAAAGGGGCAGAGCGTTATTACCGCGACGGGGGGAATAAAATGCACTTATAAAACTTTAATGACAATGCGTTTAATTCTCAATTTCCCGGCTCTGATGTCACAGGTGCAGAGCGTAGAAACCTTTCGCATTGACGGATCTCCTTATTGTATAAAACATGGCGGCTCGGGTCCCAAGTCATGTCCAGCTATTAGCCAACTACACAACCAATCAACAAAAGGGGGAGTCCATCTAGTGGTGGGTTTCCTATGCTCCTCGGCCCCATCTAGTGGTGGGTTTCCTATGCTCCTCAGCTCCATCTAGTGGCAGGTTTCCTATGCTCCTCTGCCTCGGCCGAAGGCAGCCGAGTGAATAACCGAGCCGAAGTGAAGTGAGCCGAACGACATTCGGCTATTCACCCCGGCTGACTTCAGCCGTACATTGGCTGAAATCAGCCGTACATGAGCTGCACTTCGGTCAGCCGACCATGCTCTGCATGTTGGGCTGAGCCGAAGTGCAGAAGGACTTCGACTCAGCCGAGGTGCGGGCAACCTCGACACGCGAGCTGCAGTGGAACTACAACTCCCATGAGGCATTGCAAGACTTTGACAGCCACGGGTATGGCTCACAGAGGCACGGTGGGATTGGAAGCTTCACCACAGCTGGAGTGTTGAGGTTGCCCACACCTGGGATAGTAGTTCCGGATTAGGTCTGCCCTCCATTTGAGTGCCTGCTGGGTGGCACTCACCTGTACTATCCTGTCAGCCCTCAGGCAGAGAATCTTCGAAGAGGACCTGTCACGATGACTATGTGAGGCTCCCATCTGGCCGACTCTCAGTAGATATTGCTTTGGTTTCGAGCAACATTGCATCATGACAAGTGTGAGAGAATAAATCTCCCCAGAGATCCCCAGTGCTGACACAGCAATAGAAACCTGGCAGGGGTTCTATCCTTTCCACACTCTATCCAACACCGAAAACATACTTAGACCATAGAGATGCTTTGATGTCCCATATGGCGCTGGGCACTCCCTATACAACGGGGAGGAATGGACTCTATAGCTGCCCCTTGTGTACGTTGTATTAATAGCTGGCAGCGTCTGACACGTCTCAGTTCTGTTATTTATCACCATTTCCTGTTCTGCAGCTTCTGTGATGGAGGTGCCCTCGCCAAGCCAGGAAGCTGGCACAGAAGAGAACGAGCAAGAGAATGAGCCGCTGCTTAAGGTACTCGGGAGGGGGGGGGGGGTGTTTTCAAAAAAACAAAAAGG